GGGGGGGGGGGGGGGGGGGGGCGAGGGTAAGCTCGCAGTTGGTCTGGAGAGGGTCAATCAGCTCGCCATCATGAAGAAGTGGTGCTGCGTGAAGAGGGGGGTCCCCGCGCCTTGGAGCTGGATCGAGCAGACGACTCCTCATCTGCGCGTGTCCTCAGACACTATTTCATCGTCCCTCCGAAACGAAGCGTTGGGCTCTTTTCTTTGTGCGCCCCACACCTCTTTTCACTCACTGTCCCAGTAACTAAGATCGCCCATGCTCGTTACGCATACGTTTTCTGGTTCAGCGAAACCAAAGTGTTTTGCCTTTGTTCAGCGAGGGCGCGTCATTGGGGTCTACCGAACGACACGATCTGCTCCATACTCACTGGCAAAGGTGCTTGGTACGCTCACGAGCGCAAGCGCCACGACGACGAGAGAGATGGAGCAGCAGCGCATGCTGGGTCAAGCGACGACGAGATTTGTAGTTGCAGCGGCAGCGTGAGGCAGGAAGGACCTCAAAATCCACGTTGAGGGGGGGTGTGGGTGGGGCTTGGGTCAAAAGTCAAGAAGGGGGCAAGAGCTCACTCGTCAAATACTTGTGGGTCTGGCACCGGCCACGGTCACATCCTTGTGCCAGGATCGAGCATGCTCAAATTTTCAAAAAAGGTGCCTCGAAACGCGCGACACATTTTGGGTGGCGGGCGCAGACGGAGTAGCACGGCTGCAGCGTTGATGGCGTACCGAGTGTCGCAGGGGTCGCTTCATTCACCTAGCGGTGCGACCTAGCGGTGCGGACCGCTCTACATCATCGGCGTCCACGACTGGACCGCCGTGGCACATGCCTCTTGGGCCAGTATTACAGGTGCGAAGCCGAAATAGACACCCGAGATTCTGAAAGTTGCCCGGGTGTGCCTGGACACGGTGTTGTGTGTGACCCACGCATGCACTCGGTATACTTTCAGCCGGATCAAGGACGAGCGATACGCGCGCGCACGCATCGATCGGTGTTGCAACATCATTTTATCGATTTCGTCGATTCCCTATTTCCCTCGGTCGAGCACACAAATTGTTGTTTGAACAACTCCCCCAGCACGCGCATCCCCGGACCTGGCCCTCGTTGTCTCGTGGTGCGTTTGCCTCCTCCGAAACGCTGCCCCTTTCGACGCGGAGCGACGAGCAGGTATCAAGGAGGCGTGGGCGGGCAGATGATTTGCGGCAGCAGATTGCTGGCAACTACAAAGAACATTTCTTGCCCATTGATGATGCAGCTCGCGGTAAGGTCCAGCCACTTTGTACCAGCGACTTTGTGGCCTTTTAAACCTGGACCCGACATGTTGGCAGTCTTGGGTCGACCGTGCGCCTGTTTTGCGCATGCATCTTGCCACGATTTTTGTGCAATTGGAATAGCGGCGGCAAGGGAAGTGGAAATAGCAGGAAGGGTGAGCGAGGCTTGGGGCTGACACGTGGAAATGTGAGCTACGGTCATGTTAGCTGCATCAGTCCCAAATCTCACCGTCCCAGCCTTTGACTTCATCAAGCGTCTCGGCACAGATGTTGTCTGGTAGGAGAAGAGGGTGAAGAGGGATGGCAGCGTCAGCCTCGTCACAACAAAAAGCCAGAGTCAGAGGCCAACTATTCACGCGCAGCTACCACTGTAATGCCGAGGCTGATTGCCGACAACATGGCTGATATGACTGTGGGTCGCATGTTGAGATCTGCAGGCAGGCGAAAGGATGCTTTGTGCTCAGCCGTAGGTTGTTCGATGAGACTGCAGCGTGCATGATTGGGTGTTCGCAGCTTTATAAAGCTTTCAGGCGCTGGTCCAAAACAGCGTGACAGACAACAGCAGAGCTGCGCCGAAGTACGAGTGGCGATGGAATTAGCCATCTGCAAGTAAAGTGTTCATTCCAGAGTCGGGCCGGTATATGAACAAGGACCTTTGTGGTCGCTGATCCTCCCCTTGGACGGTCACTGCTGTGGTCAGGCGGCGGAATAGATTGGGCTTTCGCAAAGGATCGCGCGCGCGCAGCCAGCGATTTGCGAATGAAAGCGGGCAACTTACGGGTGCGATTCAGCGAGGCTGTGAGCTTTTAGAAGAAGTCTGAATGGTCGAGCAAGTGCAAGCAAGCACTGACCCGGTCTATTCGCTACGCGTCCCAATGCTATTCGCTACACGTCCCAATGCTAAATTATGCGACCACAGTCGCCATAGGTGGCACGTAACTCTCGAGAAGACGACTTCTTGCATCGCATCGTGAGACAAGCTCCGAAAAGCTGGCGTTGCGTTCGCGTTCAACGCGCGCCCAAACAAAGAATGCCGCAGCGTGCGGTCAGAACGTGAGTGAGCCTGTGGCTAAGCGGCACCACCACGAAGCATTGCGAACCTGTCAAGCTACGACGGGAGGGAGTCAATCTACGCTCCACAAGTGTTTGTGCGACTGACACTTGCCTCTCGATGGTCGATTGTCGATTGTCGATTGTCGATTGTCGGTTGTCTCTTGGCTGGCTTGCGAGATAGCCAGCTCAGATGATAAGTGCAGCTGCGCACCCCCTCAATTCCAATTTCACCCTATTCGGCTCGGAAACATTGTCTCCGTCGGAATGGGGCAGTGTGAGTCTGTCTGCTCGGGTCCGGCGAAAGCGAGCGCATGCATGCAGATGTGCGAAAATTAAGGAGGCTTCCGATCTACACACGACGTGCATAAAACAGCGCGTGCATGATGTATCCATCAGCAGCACGATTCGAACAGGCTTTCCCCACTCGCGACTCGCGACTGTCGATCTGCTACAGATGAACGGCCCGAGCTGCATATATAGATGCGTTCATGCGACCGCTGCAATCTTGCGGCCGCGGGCGACGGCGGGCATGCATGAGCCGAAAGCGGAGATCAAGTGTGCTGCGCATGCATGGTGGTTGTGCCGAGCAGATCTAGAGACTTGTATAAAGAGGGATCACATGTCCGCCCTGATGATCTCGCCCCCCCACAAACACCATATCCCCCTTCTGCATTCCACTCACTGCATTCGTCCAGGATGAAGTACGGACGCATCGCTGCGCTGCTTGTTCAAGCTGTCACCTTGGCGACCGCCACACCAGCAGCCCATGTCGTCAACAGCTCAGCTCCCATCGGCACACTTCACATTTTTGGAGATTCGTGAGTGTTGTGCGAGGAGCGGCGTAGGTGAGCTGTGACCTCTGATGACGATTATTCCATGTTTATCTCGCAGCTACACCGATAGCTGCAACGTCTGGCACCTTCAGCACAGCGACACGCCCACCTTTCCCGGTTGCCCACCTCCCGATGCGGGAAGAAGCACCGGCGAAAGAGCTTGGCCAGAGTACATTCGCATCGATCAAGGTCAGCGCGAGAGCAGCACCAACGCTTCCAACCCATCGTCGCCCGGTGGCGATCCAGTCGCAGGCAGCAAGCAGCAGCAGTGGCTTATCCGCAACTGGGCGTTCAGCGGTGCTACGTGCGACAACGCCGCCTTTCCCTCTCAAGCTCCCTCGTGAGTAGTCACGGGGACCTGGTCCAGTATTTCGCTCTGCTCCTGGCTGACCAGATAATCGCTCCGCTTGTAGAGTCGTCGATCAGCTTGCTCTGCTTCAGTCCGGCTATGGAGCGGTGCCGCCCATCGGCAAGCCCAACGCCAAGGCGGACGTAGCCCTCTTCCTGATCGGCACGAACGATGTCATCCGACTAGCGTCCAAGAAGCGCGGTATTGGTGGCTTATTTCCCTACAACTCCAAAACCACAGTCGCGAGCGAGACGGCCTGCATTCGTGCTCGCATCGAGCTGCTGCACGAGCTCGGGCTGCGTCGCTTTATTCTAATTGAGAATACGCCTCTGCAAAACACACCCGTATTCCGGCAGCTCAATGCGACTGCGGAAGGAGCAAAGTATACGCAAGCCAACAATGGAGAGCAAAAGAAGCTCGCTAATGATCTGAACGCGCAGTGGAAAGGCAACGCAGTCATCGACATCTTTCCTGCTTATGCGCTCTTTGACGCCTACTACCGCAAGCCTGAAGAGTATGGCATTACGAATGTGGACACCCCTTGCAACCACACTGCTGCGTGCACGACCAGTCTGTGGCAGGACAGTGAGTCTTGTCGTTATAGAATCGAGCTGCAATGCACGAGCTAATGCTCCTCATCTCTCTCCTGTAGCTCTTCATCCCGCTCCACGTCCCTGGAAGATTTTTGCTCGCAAGTGAGTCGTTGGTGCAATTGAACGAGTGAGAAAGCTTATTGATCATTGTCTGCACTCGCAGACTGGTGCGCTTTGTGGCGGGTGTCCGCGGTGACGCTCTCATCAAGGGTGATGAAGGCGTTCAATAAAGAAGATGCGAGGTGCAATCAACTCTCAGGGGCCTCTTGATGCTCGAGGTAGCGGATCAGTCTAAGCATTGCATGGACCTCTTTATACGCACGTACAGAAATGTCTGCCTGTCTCTTTAGCTCGACTCGGCATTCAGCAAAAATACCACCTCTTCTTGCCATACGCTGTTTCAGGTAGCTATCGTGAGCTTGGTCCGCGCTGCCAGGGTCCAGGGTGAGGAGGTTGCAATGGAGCTTGGGTGCGCGGACCAACACAGAGAAACGATTGGTCTCCCACACTTGTCTGAGCAGCCTGACGTCTCCCATATGAACTCAGAGTGTCGCTGTGAATGTTCACGGCGCGGCTATGTGGGTGACTAGGGCACGCCCCGTATGCTTTAAGCGCCGAGCACCAGCCGATGGTTGCGCAAGTTGGCAATCTCCCCTCGCACCCACGTCAGCAGAGTGGCCACAATCTACAGCTGGTAGAGGACGTAGACTGGATTTGTTGCGTATAGTCCTGTAACCCGTACTGCGACTCGGCAAAGTCGAGACAAGGTACGTCTCAAGCGAATGAGCGCATACACATATAACCAGCGCGAGCAGTATGACCTTCGAGCTGACATTGGCCGCTCAACGCTGTGTCCCTTCAAGCTTGACGTCCACCCACTTCAGCAACAGACACTCTGCAAGATGACTGCTTTTATATTCAAGTATCTTCTCGTATTTGCTTGCCTGTGTTACGGGACCATCGGCGACAAAGCTCCAGATGGATTCACTACCCATGCAAAAAGTGAACGCTGCCCGAATCTTTGTCTTTATTTTGATTTCTGACGCTACCTGCCCCTTCAAACAACGGCAGAGTACATGATTCGTTCTGCCACCAGCCAGAACTGCGCTTCTTACCCGCCTGCACAAGCGTGCTGGACCGATATATGCAAGGCATCCTCCAGGGGCAAAGCCACGATCAATAATCTTGTAGACATTGGCACGAGCGATGTCTTTTGGGGCGAATGCTCGACGTGAGTGTGTTGACAAGATTGGTGGTGTATGTCGCTGCCTTCTTACTGACGACGTGGAACTACAGTGGAAACTCATCGCCCAAGACGGACACGGACTGGACCGCAAAGGTGAGACGAGAAGTGATCGCTTCTCTCTTGCGATGCATCTCGGCGCTGACGGACTGCTGTCGGCACAGGTTGCGACCGGTCTTGGCTTTTTTCCTCCCGGTAGCTAGACGACGTCCTCTAAGCTTCCGGTGTCAGCGAAGGCGTCGTATGTCAATGCGCGCTAGACGCATGCCCCTGCAGCTATATGCATCTGTAAACACCACTCTCCCCTTCCTTCAATAACATCATCTTAACCCGTGATATCGTGTGCTTGCATATCGTAGATTCGCAGAGGCGCAACTAGCCAACTAGCCCCGGCGTAAGCACTCTTAAAAGCAGGACTTGATGCTCGAAGCGCTTGAGCTGGCTGAGCAGTGCATGGACGTGCATCAAAGGTCAATTTGATGTCTGCTCACAACAGCCACATGGACTGTCAGACCATCAGTGCCTTGCCTGACGTGTCTCGTAGATTGGTGGGTAGCGACAACCTACGAGGCATCGGAAAAGCACGGTGAAATGGTGATTCCTGCGTTGCAAAGCGGCCCGCGGTGTCCTGTGCCGGCGCGTCCCGTTCAAGGGTCTGGTCCTGGACATGATTCTACCTTCGAGCGGCGCAAGTGTAAAAGTGGGTTCGCGGCGCCTTGCTTGTCCGAGAACCCACGCCCATATGGACGTTTTCCGGGGACGTTGCTGGGCGTACACGTGCGCCCTTTCGAGGAACAGACATCGTCCAGGCGATCGTCTGAGAAGTTGGTCAGAGTCTCTTTGTGTTCCCGATGCGCAAGCTGTGAAAGCCAGGTACACCATCATTTACACCTCAGGCGGTGTGCCACTCATGCGAGGTGGTCGTCAGGGTCTCACATTGCTGATTCTCAAACAAGGTCTCAGCTAAGTACTGACATGAAGTGCCGCGCCGCTCACGCGCTCGACGCGCTGCCTCGGCCGCCAAAATTTGGTGATAGAGACAGTCAATGCGGCGGTTCGCCGGCCACCTTACGCCTCACTTGATGGAAGTAAGCGCATTTTCGTCAGTCAGGAAAAAGCCCTTGCACGCTAATGGTGTCCTTCAGCTGCGATCCACTGCTATCTATCAAGAACACCCGATAGCTGAGCAGTTCTCTGATTCGTCGCCTTCCTTTCAGCTTGTTGTAAGATGTTCTAGTGTTCTTGGCGCAGGCGTGACGCCATTCGAGATCTTATCAAGCGATTTAGGGCACCGCGATGCCTCGTCACCGACTTTGGGATTTTACGAGAAGCGACTACGAGCGACTCGTCTTGCTTCTTCTCGAGAGAATGAGGGGTAGATAGGTCTTGGCTCGCTCAACAGCAACTTTGAAGCTGCATGGCACAACTTCGTCTCTCCCAAAAAGGTATAAAGACAGACGAAAAAAAGAGCCCTCTGCTTCGCATGTCTCTCTCAAGATCCCGGAATCACTGCAAAAAGCGCGAAATAAGACAAAGTCGATCTCACATTCAACAAAGCCGAACGAAGATCAACATACCCCGACAAGATGACTCTCAACATGATCAAGAGCCTGACTCTGCTTGCGACCTTCATCGCCCTTGTTGTGGCTCAAGGCCACCAGCAGTCGCCCGTCTCGTTTACGAAACATGTGATGAGTGAGTGGCAAGTGCAAACATCGCATCGGTGGTCGCTGCTAAGCTTTGATTGGGATATTGCCTTGCCGTGACGTCGCAGAGGTTACGATCGGTGTTGCCACGGACCAAAGCTGCGGCACGTTCCCGCAGGCTCTTACCTGCTGGATCGATGCTTGCAAGAAGAAATCCAAGGGTCAGGCAAAGATCAACAAGCTTTCGCCGATCGATGGAGTTGATGATACATTCCTGGCCGAATGCTCGTAGTGAGTCTCCGGGCCTGTGAGTGTGAATACAAGCGCACGCGCGCATGCTGACGCGCTGCGGTCGTGCTGCAGCTGGAGGCTCACTCCAACGATCGACTGGACAGCCACGGTGAGCGCGTGCCAGCTCGTCTCACCAAAATTGACCCGAGATACTGACATGCGGCCTCTTTGCACGTTCTCAGGTGGCTGGGGACCTCGGGTTTGGCGCCGCCTAGAGCAGAAGGGCCGCTATGCGCTCGCTCATCTCGAGGGCGGAGGCTGCAAAGTATGGCACGGCGACTATTGCACGTGACATTCTCGATTCTCTCGTGCATGCATGCATGAGGTGCATAGCCCTCCGACGACATTCATCAGACTGTCCCATCCATGCAATTCAAATCACTTGACTGAATGGGCTTCCATTCTCTCAGTGTCAGAGCGATTACGGTGTCGTCGTGACCAAAAGCCAAATTACGCTAGAGTGAGGTACAGACATTCGCGTGACTGAGCGTGGTCGTCGCCGGTGTTCTGGAATTGATATTTGCTGAGCGTGTACGAACGAGATTGAGAGTTGACGGCGAGGGTCCACCTGATGGAGTCGTTGACATCGCTGATCTGCCACCTTTATGGAGCCAGTGACAGTGCGCTTGCGGCTGCGCGCGGTCATCAGAACCTCTGTCTTACCGCCTCGCTCACCAAATCCACAAAAGACACACCAGACCGGACTCACGACTGCATGGTTCTTGATTTGGATGCACAACACGCGCGCGCGCAGGCATGGAGGAAACGGTCCCCTCGGGGAGGGCCAAGGATTCTAGACCGCAGGTCTGGCCGTCCAACGTAGCGCGGTGGCTTGCATACAGCGGGGGCAAGCGCGCGCCACGGACAGCGTTTGAGGCTCGAAAAGTTGAGAGAGCCTGCTTGCTTGGTGTCTCTTCCGCTCGCATCGTATCGTGTGACTTGTCAGCAATTGCAAGCCAAGTCGAGAGGCGGAAAGAGTTCGGTTGGGCCCAGCATCCCCTCTGTGCGCGCAAAGGGCCCATCGATCGGGGACAAAGCGTCACAGAATGCGGGTCTTTAGCTTCTTTGCATCCCCTATCACTTGCGATACGATGAGCGAGAATCCACGCGTTGGGACGGAGGCATTCGTGACGTGACTTTGTGGTGATGTCCGCAAAGCATAAAGACTCGACGGTTGTTCAAAGTTTGCGCACTGTCAATCAGACTCTGCACTCCTCCTCATCTGGTCATAGCTCACAATCTCCACACCCATATCGCAGTTACGATGCAGCGTCCCGCCTACCACCTGACCTCATCCAGCGACTCTGGCATGCTCAAGTACAATGCCGCCCCAGCACAGCCGGGCGACACACGGGGTCGACCGCTGCGCGATATCTTTTGGGTCTTGTTCAAAGGCCTCGCAGTCTTTATCGCGCTCCTCGCTCCGCTTTGTGTCCTGTTTTGGTACATCTTCAAAGCTCACCAGGCGATCCGCGTTGGCCTCTACATCTACACCACCGCGCCCGTACACGAGCTTTTGACGATCAGTCAAGTCACCAGCAAGATAGCTGAAAAGGTTGTCGCTCCAGGTGAGCTGCACAGAGGCGCGCGTTCGTACGTATAGCGTAGCGGCCCTCACGCTGAGCCTCCCCCATGTCCTCAGCAATGGCGGTCTTTGGATACTTGTGCGCCGCCAGCTGGCTGCGACGTAGCGAACTCAACGGGACGTATTCCAACAGCACTCTTCCGACACCCCTACAGTGAGTAGTGCATCGATCACCCACACGTCTGATCTGCCCAAATCATTCAGACCCACATCTCGCATCCCTCTCAGACTCGGCATCGTTCAGACCGCTGTCGGTTCTGCAAACTTTTTCGCCCTCTCTGACGGCATCAAGTACCTGCTCGGTAATAGCGGCCACGCGAAACGTCCAAAGATGCCTGCTTTTGTCTCTGCCGCCGTCCTTTTGCTCTGCTGGCTCTTGACTCTCGAAGTGTTGGCTTTCTTTGCCGACTTTGCATTCCATCAAAAGACCGTCAACTCCAAGGTCTGGCTGCCTCCTACACCAGCTCAAATGCAAGCCGAAACGCGTGCCAAAAGCCTCATTGCAACGCCTCCACTCGATTGGACAGTGAACGCAGTGATCTGGGCACTCAAAGGGCAGACGGCGTTTGCCAATCCATCCACGATGCACGCTGTTGCTTGGACTGATGACACCCATTCAATCATGGTAGCGCCAGTGCAGCCAGATTTCTCTTACGTTGCTCCGTCTCCCGGAGTCAAAGCAACTTGTGTACCAATCACCAGAGAGTGTACCAATTGTGGTCTGTCTGGCGAAGCTGACTTTGACTCGTGCGGATCGCTTGCCGGAGTCAAGCTCGAATGTAATGGCGCACATTCCTACGACGGAACAGCAGAGGGAGTGGGCTGGCTCGATAGCGTAGGCAATGCCGGAGGAGCGTACCACCCAGCGTCCAAGTGCGTTTATTTTCAAGATCGAGTCATCTTGCCATTCATCTTGCTCACGTTCATGCTTGGCGCCTTCTTGTAGCCCCCTCCAGTGGGCCACGACCATTCGATCCCAAGCCTACGGAGGCGGACAAAGCAGTGGTGCATACGACAACAGCACGTGAGTATGTATTGCGTTGCACAAAATTTGTACCAGCGCTCGCTCTCGGCTTCTTTGCAGAGGCTTCGTCGTCTGGGGTCATTCCGGAGCCATCAACGTTCTGCACTGCGATGTAGCGGTAAGACTGGTCAAGGACCGGTTTGATCCGCCCAATCGCTTCAGAACCTTGGAAGCTTTGGACGTCAGTGGAGAGGCGGCAAGCCGCTACACTTACAGCACGTAAGTGTAGTAGGATAATGTCCACGCATCCGCATCCGCAGCTTCAAGCTTATGCTAGAACATCTTCGTATTGCGTTCTCTCTTGTCAGCGACGGCATTGGTGCAGGTCCCTGGGATCTCATCGGACAGCTCATCGACGGCGCTGGCCTACTCGAGTCTGATCCGTATCCCGTCGTCTACGCTCGCACTTTTTCGCGCTATGTGATGGCGTTCAGCGCAGAGATGATGAGCAGCACTCCGGTCGACACACTCGAGGGCCAAGGAGTACCTGGCACGCGAGTTCACCTGGTAGTGCTCGGCATCTTTGCGGCCACTGTCCTCATCGAGTGCATCACCATCTCTTTGGTCGCGCTAGCTGCGGCTGCTCACATTTGGCGCTGCAACGACTTGACCGTCAGAGCAGTACGCAAGCGCCTCACTGGACCTTTTGCCCTGTTGTGTCAGACGTATGGCACTCCTCGACGCCTGCAGCCTGAATTGGGCGGATCACAAAAGCAGGCATGCCTCACGGAAGACAACTTGCAGTTGTTTGAGTGCGAGAGCACGAGCGGCGCGCACGGTCTGCGCCTCCGCAAGGCAATGCACATGCTGCCTGCCGACTCTCCCCTCGCTGGTAACGTCTCCACCTGGAATTTCATTGCGGACTAGTGTCTGTCCGGCTTCTGTGCGCTTTTGGACTCGCCTTCCCGCTTTCGTCAGCATACTGTCTGCTGGTCACCGTATCATTATCCCTCTTGGTTACTGGATGAGTCTGCTGTATCGAAATGGAGCATTCAGTCATCCCTGCTTCGCCTGTCATTGCAATGCGGATGCAGTCGTTCGGCGCCTCGAGCGAATTGTAAGAGACGCCTTCAACTTTTGCGATCTGCAGACGCTTCAAAACGTGAAGCGCAGGCCCAGTGTACTTGTCGAGGTCGCGAAGGGTCGTGTTTGTGAATATGCTGGATTGCGATGATGATCTGAGTGAAGAAGAGAAAGGAGAAGCTAGTCAAGCGACGTATATGAAGTCAAGATAGAGCGTGACAAGCGTGATCAAGCGTAGTCGTTGCCGGTGTTCTGGACCAAGTGTGTATGCACGCGACGTGCATAATGCGGCCCCTATATGTACTTAGACAGAACATCCAAATTGCAGTTGAAATGTCAGCTCTCTACCACCACCCACGTCTGGCTTATAAAGTAACCCCTCACTTGAACAAGTACGAACGAGATTGAGAGTTGACGGCGATGGTCACCTGATGGAGTCGTTGACATCACTGATCTGCCGCCTTCATGAAGCCAGTTCGCTTGCGGGCAGACTCCGTGAAATTGTCGAGGTCGCTGGAAAACAGGTGCCGATAGCACTCAGCATCCCGTTCGTAAAGACTTCTCAAGTCGCAGCTGACCACTCACGAGCCAAGGGGGACCGGTCGAAGCTTGATGTCCCTGCATGAGACGGAGAATAGCGAGGCCATCGTTGCTTTGTATAAATAGCAGCCTACGTCTGTGAAGCTGCTTTCGACTTACAGCGTACACTCCACCCAGAGCTGTCCGACTTTGTCTGCAGGCGCTATAGCGTTGACTCTCCACTCGTTCTTCGTGACAGTGTTGCACGCGTCTGACCAGCACTTTGCTGCCGCTCCCAGATTACCTCTGCACTCTGGATGACCAGTCACAGCCAAGACGACTGTGCACCGAGTCATGAAAATGTCAGTTTGCTTTGGCACATCGATCGGTAAGCAGTTTGTTTCGCCTCACTCATGGCGTTGTCAGAGAATCCGCGGGGTGTGTTGGCCATGCTGGTGCCTGGAGCAAGAATGCCACCGAGCAAGACTGCCATTCTAAGTTTGTGAAACATGGTGCTGGCTGGGCAGAAAAAGATGCTTGGTAGGCTGAGAATGACTCAAGTCGTGATTCAAGACGAGACAAACAAAAGTCTCACCTGTGGACATTTTGAAGCATGGGACACCTTTTTGCGTTCAGACACGGTCAACCACGACGGTGAATACTCAATATTGCTCTCACAGCTGAATGATGATTCTGGACCGTTGCATCCTCACCCACGTCCACGACGCGTCAGCAAATAATGGCGCGGAAACCATGGCGGCGGTGTGTCGCATGGTCATCTTGGAGATTGGGGCACGGAGTCTCCCTTCGAAGAACAATCTGTCCACGAAATTCAGTCGTATGTGCTTTGCGTTTGGCCACCATGTATTACGATAGCAGACTGCTGCGGGCAAGACGAGCGTTCGTGAGGAGATCGAGGTGAAACGTGTGGCCTCGATGAGAGCATAGACGGAAAGCAAAGAAGAGTGGGGTCGCCAGCGAAGGACGGCGATACGATGTCACCCTCATGTTGCACTCCATTTGGCACCGTGGCAGCCTTCAGCTGACTACCTTGTTGGCCATGTCAGGTTTCCAGATGGAAGCCCGTCTTTGAGATGGCAGAGCCCGTGTAGTTGTCGAGATCGCTAATTTAAAAGTTCGAGCTAGCGACTTTCAGCTTCCGATGACGAAATGCACTAAACGATGCGGTGAAGTACTCACGAGCCGATAGGAACCGGTTTGATCTTGATATCACTGCACCGGCGGATCATCGCGTGGTGAAGGGATCAATGTTACGCATTCCATGATCAAGAAGGCCAAGGTGACAATACTCACAGCGTACACTCGACCCAAAATTGGCCAGTTTTCTCGGCAGGAGCCATGAGCTTGATCCTCGCACTGTTGCCAGTCACCGAGTCACACGCCTGTTCCCAGCAATTTGATGCAACACCAGGGTTCTCTCTGCATCCTGGATGGCCTGTCGAGATGGAAACGACTGATCACGAGTTTGCCTGTAGTCAGCGTCCTCATCTGCCAACACGCTCGATTCAACTGCAGCACCGACTCACTCTCGGCGTTGTCGGAGAAGCCTTTGGGCGTCTTTGCAAGGCTCGGCACCAAGGCCACGATCGCGGCGAGGGCGACGCTGGTCTTAAGGTGTTTGAACATGTTGGCAAGTCGATGTAGCGCGAGGAATCTTCTTGACGCTCTGGCCGAGGCTGGATGATCAGAGCTGTAGGAGTCAATGGAAGAGTCGGGGGCCTCTTGAAGCGTTGATTTATACCACTTCTGTTCGAAAGCTTGTGCAGGTCCCTGACATAGCACGAGGCACTGACAGCCCTAACGAGCTGACAGCTCGCGTTCTGTGCGTTCTAAGCATCACTCCAGCTCACAGTGACACGTCAGCCGCTGTCTACGCGGATATCGATTAGCAATGTGTTGCATGGGTGCGGAGCAAGGTAGACGATTTGCGTTTCGTTGAGCATTCTCACTCAGAGTAGCAGCGGCCACTAGGTGAGCAGACACGTTTTGGCTTTTGCTCCGTCCTCAATTTGATCGGTTGATCGAAGACAGCGCCGTGAGCCTCGGCTTGCCGCGGACAACGCAGTGCTTTGTAACAACACACACTGTCACGGGTAATGATGATGGCTCCTTGACGAAAGAGAGAGACGTGTAGGAGTGGTGTTTACATGTGCATCTATCTGTCTGCAGGCGCCTGCGGGTCTCGCGTGACACGCCGAGCGCCAGGGACCTCGAAGCAGGAGACGTCTGTAAAGTCTCAGCTGTCAAGTGCACGGTTCTTTTGAAGCTCAAAAACAGCTGAGCAGTCCAAGTAGTGCACGGGCCTCCTTATGCATGTATGTATTTCTATGCCAGTTCCTTTAGCCGCCCTTCGACTCGGGGCGAGCATGACTTCACAACATCAGTTTCATACATTACATAACAAATCACGCGGACCTTGTCCCAATCACAGAATCTTCCGACTCCGACGAATTTAAACGCATAGAGTGCACAAACACGAATCAGATGAGCAGACATAACATCAATATTACACGATCATTTCCCGGCCACGCGCCGCGTCTTTCTACTCGGAGCGAAAGCGATTTGTAACGTGGGTGACAATCGCAGTGGAAGAGCGGTCCGGCTCTGTTCATGACGCAAGTCCTCGCAGTGAGGCCTTCTTCCTTTCTTGAGCTTTCATCACCCACCTTGCGTTGATCTACCATCGCACTACTGTGTGGCCGTTTGACACATTTCAATGAAGCTGCTGAGCGCACGGCCGCCTTCAATTTGAAGGCAGCTGAAAGGTCTAAGAACGCACGGCCCTCTGTAGAAGTCTCTTCCACTGCCTTCAGTCGAGTTCCCACTCGATGCGAATTTGATCTCTTCTCACAACAGAATCGAGTCATTGCTGGACTGGTCTTCCCACATGTGATGATTACGATGGCATCGAAGCGGACGGAGCGGTCCAGCCCGTGCACGGCGCCTAAGCATCTACATGTATCTATCTCTACTCTTCATTGTGTGCCGCAGCAGCATCGCTCAGGCCAACGGAAATCCTACTTCGTAATTGCGGACGTATTCGGTGGCGCTGTACTTGTTGCTGTGTCGCAAGAATCCAGTATGACGTGGGTAAGATGTCGGTTGGATACGGCCATACACGTCTGCTACATGCTACATACCCTTTCGAAGTCTCTCTGCAAAGTGCATGTCAGGCATGAATGGTCAGTGGTTAAGATCAGGTAATCTGCCACATGGTCGATGCAACTTACCCGGTACACTCTACCCAAGCGTGCCCGTTTGCCAATGGTTCCTCGTGCAGCGGAGTGAACAAATTGACCGGTGCTGATGTACTTGTTACTTTGTTACAGGCGTTGACCCAGCACACGGAAGCGGCCCCAGCATTGGCGGAGCACTTTGCGTCCTTTGCCGTCTTCCAACTCACGACTGGAGCCCGCCGCAAGCGGATGGAAGCAATGGGAATGTGAACGCGAGCGCATTTCCTCTTCATCTTGCACTGCCGACTCACCCACTGCATTATCAGTGAACGGTTGAGGTGGAACATATTCGGCAGCCGCCTGCATGGCACCCAAAGCACCGAGTACAACAGTGATGCCGCGTGGAGAAATCATGCTGATGCGGAGGAGTGTCGATCAAATTTTCAAATTTGTGGTCAGTCGATGCTGCGTTGCAAGATGGTTGGAAGCCAGACGATGGGAAATGCTTGAAACTAAGAGCTTATTTATACCTCTGGAGGGATGGCACCCGAATGGCGCGCACGTCGTATCTACAGCTTACATGTGCCGGATGGACGGCAGCGCACGAGACAAGCACGCCGGGCTGAACAAGTGCTCACTACGGGCCGTGCCTTCAACGGTGCTGCACTTGCCCATCAATGCCCAGTCTCAAACACTCAAAGACTGGCGCAGTCGAGTGACCGGGGGCCGCAGTGCTTTCACCTTGTCAAGATGGTGATGCGAGACCAACACTGCTCAGGAACTTGTTCTGTAGCGCACTAACGCTGCGCTTATTCTCCCCTTGGCGTGGCTCATTCACGCAGACGCAGACACTATTGGTTCGATAACCCACCCGGGCCGAGTCAATGGTGCCCAGGAGATGATATGAGCACCGACATCGTCTCTAGACTCGAAAATTGATCCAGGCAAGCTCTAGGGCAGTCTACCAGCACGGTCTCAGGTGAGCGAGTGACTGCAGCCGTTCAGCGCGGAGCAAAAATTCGATTGCGGGCAGCTAGCACATCGTTGCTCCCTGTCGAAAGCGTGAGTGTGTAAGAGGATTCTTTGATCGGCATTTTAACACGTGGCGTGGCTCTTGACAGCACTCGTGATGATTCTACTTTCTTGAATTTGTCCACTTCTTTTGGAGCAGTAGTGGCCGGAATGAAAAGAGGTCCGCACCATGTACCTGTTTGCTCTGCAGTGCTTCAGCCAATGACAGTCATGTACACGTCGTCCTCGGCAACAGTTCCCGAGAGACTGTAGGTTTTGCTATCGATCGATTAGAGGGCAACGTCAAGTTGTTAGTCGACCGTTTCAAATGTGCCAAGCCTCGATCACTGTCACTCACCCAGTCGAGGTCTTGCTGGAACCAGACAGAAAAGAGCGCACATAAGCAAAACGTCGAGAGAGAGCAACTCCGGCATCGATATCCACCCAACTCACGCGGTGCACTCTGCCCAAGCGTTACCACTGTTGGGTCCCTCCTCTATGGTAGGGACCAATAAATTGACGACGAACGCTTGCGAGGTCCTATCGGAGCAGGCTTTGAGCCAGCATTGGTCCGCGGCGGCTACGCTGATACGGCACTTGGTATCCTGCGCAGTCGTCCATTTGACGACTACAACATGTTCGAAATGGTGAGGGGAAGGGTTGAGCAAGCTTTGCAATCTAGTAATGAGCACCTGACTTACGAATCGCGTTTTCAGTGAATCCTTGAGGCTTTTTATAAGTAGCTGCCTGTGCAACAGAGACGACACAGAGGATGAAAGCGAGGTTGAATGCAGATACCATCATGAAGAGATCGTTCTGAAGAGGTTTGGGCGATGTTGGGGCGCTGAGATAGGTTTTTTGCAGTCTCGAAGAAAGCTGTCGGTAGAAGAAAGGCCAGATCTGCGGAATGTAGCGTCCTTATATGCTTTGTTCACTTTCCCAGAACTTGCTTGACTTGTACGCGACGTTTGAGCAAGGCGAAACGTTTGTCTCTGCCCTCGACCTTGGCACCACAAAAGCCAGCACCCGTTTCCGTTGACGTGGCATGACATTGGTTCTGGATGAAAGAGGGCGCTTCTGTGCTGACGGGCGCGCAGTCATGTTTGACCTCGTTTCCGTCATCTATGGTCAAAATTTGAGAAGACAAGCACGTCTCGAAATGTTTGGGGTAGGATGCGCAGCGCAATTGAGCAGCGGTACACGGCTTCAAATGCTAAAGACTCCTGGTTCATTCAATCTGAGCCACATTGCCTGCGCAATTGATGCTACACCGTAGACAGGAAACACGCCACCAATTCATCGCACAAGACTCATGATTCGATACTGCGTTCTGCCGCTTCTCAACCGATCGAAAACAAGGGACAAGTGTCAGTTGAGCGCAATGGTCGAGCGCGCACGGCGCACAGACTAATGGCATACCACGAGTGCGGAACAGCAGCCGTAGTGATGTTGATGTCGGAAACGCAGACACCACCGTCTGCATGCGCAGTAATCTGTGCTTTGTTGGCTGTATGAGTGAATGATCATTATGGTCTTCTTGATTGCGGGTGCGGGTCATGAGTGACACTCGTAACTCGACGCGCGCGGCGCGTTGCAGGCCGTCCAATTTTCGTACCCCGCTCGATCAGTTGCTTATTGTCGGGCTGAATGAATGCTGACCGCGAGGCTTTACGCGGAGTGCACAAGACGTATGCAAGCCTCTATTCGGAACGTCGAGCTCCGCGGATGCAGACGATTCTGATTGATCCAAGCGGTAACCTATTCGACGCCACGATACCTTTTGTTGACTGCGCCGGAGCTGGACCTCCGGCGCAGCCAGAAGTCCGAGGTGCCCGCCGTTCCCGGTCCCATCCAAGGCCGCGGATCAGAGGCCATAGATGTTCGTCACGCACGCACCACGCTGTCCATTCGTGGCGACGGGCGGCTCAAGTGAGCAGATCGATGGCAGGTGATAGTGGAGTCTTAGTAAGGAAGAGAAGACGCTGGCACACATGAAGCCACGATTGCTGCGTCTTTCGTGTGAAGTGGGAACTGCAGTCGCGAGCATTCGTGATTGTCGCGCATGCGACGGCCCAAACTTGCAGGGACATGCATGTGTGAGGACGCACGGCTGGAGGCCAGTGGACAGAATGAATGCCCGTAAGCTACACGTTCACGAGAAGCAAAATGAAAAGTGACGCTAAAAGAGCATCGTGCATGACGCTGGCTTGGCCAGCTACGTTTCGATTGGTGCCTTCACGAAATCGAAGCTCTTGCTTTCTAGAGCTTTTGGCCACCTCCGCCACCCCCTCCCACTTGTCGTGAGAAGAAATCGAATTCAAATCAAATGGGAGCTCGACTGGAGGAACAGATATTTGTATACATGCGTAGAATGGAGGCCTGTGCGCTATTCAGACCGTTCAGGTACCTCCTCATGCAGGAAAGGGGACCGTGCGCTCAATACAACTAGCCACCATCTCGAGCGTCGGTTCTGCCCATCCAAACGTCTGCTTCGTTGCTCTCGCTCTGTTATTTCGTAGCAAAGCCCATGGGTCGGCGCCCCGCCTCAATCATCTCTGATCTTTGGGAAACCCAATAACTGCTGCACCTATCCACAGGATGAGAACGGGCTTGAGAAATTGAAAGAATCTGCGTCTCATTGCACGCTGCACTCACCGTTAGCGTCCAGTCATCCGTGGGGCTGTGCAGTACAGAAGCACGGTTCAGCTTCGGACACTGCGACTGTTTCGATCCGCCCAACGACTCACCTGCTGCACTCTGCCCACGAATTGTCACCTGATGCCTGCAGATCGCTGATTTGCGAGCGAGCGCCAGACTTCTCGAAGCACGTGTAGGTCCAACAGCTATACGCGCGATCGCCCACACAGTCTTGATTGTAGGCGGAGGCCGTCGATATGACTGACACAGGGAAGCGTCTTTAGCTCTCTACGTTTTCTCCACGGCTAAAGGAAAATGAGAGCGCGACACTAACGTATGGACTTGGCAGAGAATCCATCAGGGTATCCGTCTCTCGGCAGAATGCTGATCGACTTGCTGCATGGAAGCGCGGTCATAGTCACAAGAAGTGCACAGAGGATGGAAGACTTCATGGTGCTCCAAAAGGTGGATCGGTTGTGCGGTGCTCGAAAGGCGGATAGTCGACGGATTGATCATCGAGACACGCCTTTAAATAGGGGCGAGCAGATCATCGCGCTGCCCAAAGCGGCAGAGTTGCTGATGGGAGCGGCACTCTTTTGGCAGCATCGCCGCATGGCCCGGTTGCATCTGCTGGAGGCTGCGCAGAATGCTCTTGGCGGTCAAGCGGATCACTCATGCCGCTGGCTTGGCGATCTGCCTGCTCTGCATTTTGACCCTTCGCTATTGGTCTAGCTGCATCCTTTATTACTTTATTTAGCTGCTGATTTATTCCGGCGACGCAGCCAATCACAGCTTTGACTGAATTTCGAGTCCAGCTGCTCCCTCCATCAGCGTAGCTGAGCGCTTCACGCGAACGATTCACTGCAAGATGCTGGTTCCAAAGTACCTGCAGCACGTAGCATGGTCGAATATCATCATTTGCGAAACTATTGTGCTTAACAGTCGTCCAGGCAGAGTTGAATTCCCACCACGCACTGGTGGGCTAGGTTTGCGCGTGCAAGAGCAAACACTGAAATCTGAACCCCCGGATAGATCATCCGTCGCTCACCTTCTGGACACCAATGGCAGTCATCACCTTTCCAAAGTTTTGGTTGAGCTGGTCAGAAAGAGCCCAATCAGCCCAACAGAAGTCATTCTGCCAAAGCGACTCACTGACGCGGTCCAGTCCGATATGGCACTGGTCAAGAGCAGGGTCGAATGCTCAACAGTCAATTTTCGAAAACACATTTCTTTTCAGCTTTGCGGACTTACTTGCTGCATTCCGCCCAGGCGATTCCAGGTCGGTCAGACTCGATGAGAGCGTCAAAAGCAGCGTGACCACCGCCTGACTGATTGTAGCCCTCTGCAACCCAACAGTCGTGAGCTGCCACGAGACCTCGGCAAATTGGCTTGTCCGACGAGTCGTACAGCACGACTGAAATCGGATCGACGCGTCAAAGGGGGACGTCTCATCCGTCGTCGCGCGATGAGCCACGCCGAAAAACTCACGGATGGACTTGTCGGTGAAGCCGTACGGGTATGAACCTGCGCGCACAATGTCTGTTGCGACCAACAGCAGGGTTCAAAAGACCCCGCCCACAATCGAAGGCATGGTGACTGAAGGACGCCAAGGAAGTGTCGTAATGGCAGTGATCATGGAGGCAATCCCGAGGGAGAGATGTAGACGGCAGTGCGCTTCCACTCTGCTGAGCTGACCAAAATTGGAGGGTTCAAATGCAGACAAAGATCGAGTCGGGAGCAAAGTGATGGACGAAAGGCAAAGGTCTTGCTATGCAAAAAGACAAGGTCATCAGAGAAGTGCATATCTTCAAAGACAGGGTAGCGATGGGCTTGAGTTCCACAGCGCAGGTCTCTGTAAGGATGGTCAACGCTGCTTAGTCTGGTCAAACACTCGAAGGAGAATGTAAGAACCAGTGCCAACCTGGCTCTCAGTCATCTCAATCACAGTCGAAACGCCATAAAACACGCCTCTCGTTGATCAAGGTAAACCCTACAGACAAAGCTGATTCTGCAAAGGCAAAAGGCCTCGAAGGACCCCGCTCACCTCGTTAGGCCCCTGGATCACGGTAGCGATGGGCTCATGAATAGGGAGGGGCCCGCAATCGCAAGACAAAACACGCTTGTATCAAGACGAAAGTGCTCGCGTAAAGTGGTGGCTTATTTTTCGTCACTTTGAGGGGTTGTCAATAATTCGTCAGAGCATGTGTATACATCAGACATTCTGGGCTCATTTCGAAAGCCCAAGGACAAGCAAGACGGAGGAAAGGACATGAAGTAAGCCTGCGCCCGATCAGCACAGTCTCTCTTCAAGTCGTCCATCCTGCGCTCACTATCTAATCTCGACCAAGGCTCATCCTTTGTAATAGAAATCCATCACCGCTTGTAGATGAGCTGCGATATCTTCGCAGCTAGATTCAAAGAGCTGATTCAGGTCCGCTGCCTCGCTGCATAGCCGAAACACAGAGGTGGCTTAGTGCATAAATATCTCAAAGACGAAGAAGTCACTCACATGCGGGAAGATAAGGCGGAGCATACAGTCTTCCATGCATCCTGGATCTCTCTGACTGCGTCAGAAACCCCACTCAAGATAGCCTGATCTCTAGCGCTGGCGTACTTGTCGTCTTGGGTCATGTCGACCTCGAAGGACTTGTAGGCGAGAGTGTTCAGTTGGCCCACCAAATCCCATCCTAAAGATCCCTTGAGTCTGAAATTCTGCTGCTCGTTGAGCTCGGTCAAAATGCGCTGCAAGGTCTCCAGTAGTGGCATAGAAGACATCGGAGTGAAGGGTTCGCTACATGATTTCGAGATTGTAAAGTGCGGATCTTCGTAAGACTTGACCAGCTGCGGGCATGCTGCCCATCATACTCTGAGGTCGGCTTGTACTCACTTGGTCTTCAGCTCATAGCTCCAAGTCCCGGCCAATTTTGCAAACTCAACACCCAGAGCTGCATCGATGCAAAATTTGAGGACCTTTGCAGTATCATCTTGCGAAGTGCCCCATGGCTGTCCATTGAACGAGTAAGGCCTCGGCCGAGGAGCAGCGCAGACGAAGGTAGTCATGAAAAGCGTAGCGCATGCGAGGCTTGTTTTCGTGATGTGCATTTTGGAGGAGAGCGTGGGGCGGCTGGAACGCTGCGTAAGAAATTCGTGACAGCTCGGGGTAGCTGGTGTACTTTGCAGTGCGAGGAGGAGGCAGAGCGAGCTTTTCTAGTCATCCTGGTACGGCGCCCTGCATTGGCGCTTCGAGCGCGACGGACTTTGTTGCCGAGTCCCTCTGCTAAACCCACGTATTCATCGACACTAAGCTGCACCAATAAGAGCCGCTCGTCTGACAACAAATTTGCAGAGCCTTCTCATTCATTGCGATCGATCTTGGCGCCTAAGCGCAAGCTTAATTGGTTTCCAGAGTGGCTGACGCAGCTGCGAACCCTCTTGCGGTACATTGTTCTCACCGTGACAACCGCTTACTGCCCTTTGCAAACTCGTGCACAGCCCCTGCATCCGCACTCCAAGCCTTTTGCGAGCCTTTGACAGCAAGAATGATGACGGGGTTCGACTTTCAAGATCTCAACTTTGCATATGTGGGATGTACATATATGCATGAGGCGGCGTGTGCACCACGAGCCTTGGGAACTTGTCTCATGGAACTATAATAAGACGTCGCAATGGGAGAAGGGTTCAGGCTCAGCAAAGTCGGATTGTGTGCGTGACAGGAGTGGATGCTGAGAGGAGCGAAGGACAGTCAAGGTTGAGAGGGAGGAGCAAAGAAAGCGTCAAGCTCTCCCTTGCGCGTCCACGCTTTGCCGGCCTACTCATCCTCGGCGTGCGAAACACCGCGGACGCAGCAATAGCCCTTGTGACGCGCCGCGCCGCGCATCACAGCCCTAGCCATAGGCTGCTTCTACAAGGCCAAGCCTGCCATCGATGTACAGACATCCAGTATGGAGCTTCTTCGTGCTGGGGTCGGCCGACGGCCTGATGGCGTAAAGACACTGCATCGTCAACGCGCTAGAAAGGCACGGCAAGGCGTGGCAGCAGTGAGGACTCACATGCGACCAAGGAGAGCCTGGCATGCGCTTTTCCAACAGTCTTTGGCTGTGATAACCCCAGCTCTTACAATCGGCGCAAGGCCTAATTGACGGGCATTGCCCACCACAGTCTTCAGTGTCAGTTCATTTGCAAAGGACATGTAGCCCCTCGTGTCAAAGTTGCCGACTACTAAGGCCGGTGCACGTCCCTGGAACCAGTAGTAGTCGTGAGTGGTCACCTCCTTCGAGATGGCCTGTAGAGTGTCAAAGAGGGCTATCGGTGCCTGAGTGTCAAAGGTCCGGCTGTGCAGAGGTGGAAGACAAGGGATGGTCAACAGCTCGCACGCGCGCACGATAACAAGACTCATGAAGTCTACGCACTTGAAAGTAAGCTGAGCGCTCCATGCTCCTTCCCAATTGGCCGTGTTGGCACCCAATGCTGACAAGACGTAGCCTTGCAGGTCTTTGGTGATATCGCCGATTGACTTGTCCACTCCGGGCTGCGGTCCTACTTCAGGATGAGGGGTAGTGCGTACTACTGTGGCGAGAACGAGGGCCCAGACCAGTACCAGTGGGATGAACGAGGGCATCTTTTGAGCTGAGCTATGGGGATGGCAGGAATGGCGATCAGTCAGGGGAGCTGCAAGACGAATGAGGAAAGAAAGGACACTAATGGGGCACCCTCGACTTGCGACTCTTTGCTTTATACGTTCTCTGCATGTTGCTGGCTCTGGCTCTGCTCTCTTTGCGCCAGCGAGCTTCACGGACTTTTCGCAATCACGTTCGACGCGAACATTTGGGCGACAGGAGCATTTGGAACTGGAATGGGGCCATTCGGCAACTCAACACGCTGCGCTGGATGCCCTCCGTGAGCGTAAAGTGACGGCATGTTCATTCGTCGCAGGTATCAGTCGCGGGGGGGAGGGGGCGCAAGTCTGCGCATCCGTTTTGCGCGACTTTGCACGTTCAGACTCCCCCTCAATCGTTCATCAATCGCCTCAAATGAACCTGCTGATGATGGGTTGTACCTCGGCCCCACTTTGTCTGCGTTGCGTTGATTGGCGTCCGCGGTGCTCATTTGCCAAGCGGCCGCGGGCCGGTCACAGCTCTGCGAGTAGTGGCAGACTCTAGACAACGTGAGTCAAGCGTCGCCTCCGTCGAAACCGCTGCATGTCGTTCCTTTCGGTGCAGACACTCACGCATCCAAGTTCGTCGGCCGTGCGCTGCAACGATGATGGCGAGGCACCTGGCACGGTCTCAAAGAATGCGCCTGGCAACACGCAAAAGCTCGCGTTCAAGGTGGAAAATTCTGCGTGTCGCATGGTCGGGCTCTTTTCGTTGATGAAAGCAAAGCGCCGGCAAGTTCCCAAACCTCGTCTGACTAGCTGCACCAAACCGAATCGAGAAGATTATGCTCACTGGATATTGGCGCAAGAGAATGCTCGAGCGATCGACGCAGATCCATGGTCTTGACATGACCAGCGCCGCTTCTCCGCCTCCTCGGGAAATATCACAGATCCCTGTTCGAAAGTTGAGCCTGTGCAGTGTGGGCGCGACAATCCTCGACGCTTGCGGTGGAACGTGTCATGGTCATTAGCTGCGTCGAGATTCCACAAACAGAAGTAGGCGTTCAGACTGCAGGCAGATTGCACGACGCGCGCAGCCAGACTGTAATCCTTCAAGCAATGCACTACCGCATCATTGGCTTTGATGCTACGATTCAGAAGCGTACAGCATTCGGAGTGAGTGCGTCACAAGTCACAGCCGGCAAGCAGGGCCACCTTGCAACGACAGACTGTCGAATCTGTGATAACGTCCCGAGATGCGGTCCCACCAGGCACTAAGGTGGAGCATAAGCGCTGCTCACTCCCTTGAGCGCGTCACTCAGCTCTACGCAGCTGTTGATGAAATGTGTCGTGACGGGGGCGTAAGGATCGCTGGATAGAGGGGTTGGCGGATGTGCGAGCAGGATCAGTCGCAGGTCAGAGTGAGAGCAGAGGTGGGGGTCTACCCACACTAGCGTGCCTAGAGCATTGCAAGCCTCCGCCCAACTCTTTCGGATTTCCTCCACCGCATCGTGCACGGTCGTCGACACTTTTGTCTCGCGGGCGTTGAGCAGTACGTTCTGCTTGGTCATCTCGATCGCAAAGGTCTCATAACCCTTCGTGTCCCAATCGTACAGCACTTTCATAGCCGTGGCTGCGTTAAAGGTGAACCAGCTATTCTCGCTGAGCTCGTTTGGAATCTTTTGCAGTGTGCTCGTGAGTGCGTCGGACGCATACGGCGTGAAGGGCAGCCTAAAGAGATTGCATAGCGAGGGGCATGATTAGCGCGAGGCGCGCACGCCAGGTGGAACTCTCATCTTAGCTACGCACTTCTTCTGAAGCTGACCAAGCCAAATCGCTTGGAGGTCGCTCAGGTCCCCACCCAACGCTGAATCGATGTAGTGCCGCAAAGTCTTTGCCACCTCGGCGCGCGAGCTCGACCACGCCTGAGGTTTAGGTGCAGCGCTGACGATCGCTGCCAAGAGGAACGTCGAGATGGCGAGGGGGCGTAGAGAGGTGAACATCGTTTGGAAAGATGCCAAAGGGGGGAGAAGGCTAGGAAGAGACGAGGAGTTTGCTGGTGGTCAGGAGAGCAGATCTCGCCTCCGAGACAGTAACTTTGTGCCCCCCTTTTTGTACTGTGCTGTCTCTTTGTTCCTCGGCATCGGAGGCAGACTGCCCGCGGACCGTCAGGCGGCGTACGCAGACGTCCAATCAATTGTGCAAGAGACTTGGCGCACCATATACACGCATAAAGTGTGTATGATTTGGTCCATGCCAAAGCTCGCGCTGCCTTTCCAATGCCATCCATTGCGATTCTGCCTAGACGTCACGTCGGACAGCGAGGCTGATGTGCCAGGTACATTGAAAGAATGCTTGGTCTTGCCGGCCTGAATGAGCTAATGTAGGGGGCGCTCTCATTCGACGGCATCCCTTTTCGAGCAATCATTTCGATGCGATGAGCGGCGACGGTGCACGAATGCGTCGCTCGTCTGATCCGTCGCAAGCAGTCCGTCCGTACGTTCCGCCAATTCCACCAGCGCGCGCATCCCGTTCCTCCATGTCCGGACGACTCGTCCGAAGCGCTCGAGATGACGTGCGCGCGCTCAACGAGCGCTTCTCGATAGCTCGTCTGCGTCAGCGCAATCACATTAATCTTGCCGGCTGTGGTCAAAAACGCGTCCTGAAGCCTGCCACTGCTCCACATCATGTCGACGCTGGGCCGCGGTGCCGCTCAAAAGGTCATCGATGGCGGCTTGTCACTGTGGACGCGCCAGACGAACGATGAAGGCCGATTAGCCCACTCGACGACCAACATCAGAGAGATAGCTGCATA